CCTATGTTTTCTCAGGATTTAATATACAATTGAGAAAGCTGGGAGTTTTTTGTTTGTTAGTTCATAGGAGATTTCTGGAATTTCTAGTAGTGTCTAGAGAGAGGAAGAATAACTATGTAGAATTAAAACTGCGGCTATCTGACTGGGGCAGGAATATAAATAAACTGGTACCGAGTGCTACTGTGCGCTCAGAACTAGGATCAATGCGTTGGTACTGAATCTGCACATGAACTCCAAGCTGGAGGTACAGAACAGATGGAGACCAGACTTGAGGAAGGCACACAGACTGGGTTTGAATCCTGGCTCTGCACCTTCCAAGTGAAGTGACCTTAGGTAAACCTTGCAAACCTCTCAAACCTCTCTGGGCCTTTACTTTCCTATTTGTAAAACAAGGCTTGGACTTTAAAAACAAGATGCCTCCCAGCTCTGAAATGCTGTATTTCTAATATTCCATACCCAATTCTCACCCGTGAGAATCTCCGAGCTCTTAGGATCTGATTCACTCAACTGTTATATTGCTTTATTGCTAGCACTAATGTTCTGAATTACAACCACTTATCTGTGTGCCACCCCACAGGCTGCATGCTCTGTGGGGACAACACTCCACCATGCTCTCCATTGTATCCCCTGCACCTCCCAGGGAGGTTGAGGCACAGGTGGGATTCATTCATTCCACAAATGTTTATTATTAAGCAACAGTTAGGTGGCAGGTGCCTTGCTACATACTTACGCTGAGATTTAGCATGTCTCCAGCTCGGATTAGCTTCTGAGAGTAGAGATTGCTCACTTGACCCTTGGGAGATCCCTAATGCTGGTTTATGTGATTTCAGAAGATTGTGAGGCCCTTGAGGAGGGGCCCAGGAGGGGATGGCATGAAGGACTCTTGTGAAGGTTGTCCCTGAGGGGAGACGCTAATGCCAGCACAGCCTCTGGGGCCCACATGCTGTCAAGAGGCCCACTGTCTGGGGTGGGGCAGGGGGAAGTGCTGCTGGGACTTCACCTGTGGTGCTGTCACAGCCTGATCTGGGATCTACTTATTAGTGACCTGATCCTAAATCCCCTCTTAGATACCCACCTGCTGAAACGCCAGGCCTGCAACGTCTGCCTCCCTGCAAGGGGAAGTACTTGTTGGATTGAGTTAATGTTCAGAATATAGAGGGGTTTTTTGGGTTTTTTTAAAGATGACCAGTAAGGGGATCTTAACCCTTGGCAGGGTGTTATCAGCACCACACTCTCCCGAGTGAGCCATGGGCCAGCCCCAGGAATATAGTTTTTAGACTGGAGATAGGAGGGGCTGGGAACTTTTCTCACATTAGTGAACACTTAGTATAAACAGACACTTCTGCAGAGATCTGCGGACGGGAAGCAGCTAGAATTTCATGGAGGAGACGAAGAGGAAACGCCAAATCAGTTGCAGCCTGGACAAAAGGGAGAGGCGGGCTGCTTCTTCCTTGAACAGCCTCACAAAAGTGACTTTGGCTGGGGTCCCCTAGGCAGAGGGCAGGGGTGACTTCTGCCCACTCAGCAAGTCTCAGACGACCTGGTGTTTTCTTTTTTACTGTTTGGGTACAGAGCTCAAAAAGCCTTTGGACTCTGGACTTATCTCCAAGGCAAAGGGAGAAATAAACAGGCACAAAAGTGCCAGGTCCTCCCCTGAAGAGTCCACCTGATGATCCAGGGAATCCTGGTCACCCTAACCTGTCAGATGTGACCCATAGAACCTTGTCATTTATAAAGAGTTGGGGAACGGGGGCACCAGGCTCTCATTCCTGGCCTGACACTTACTTGCTGTGTAACCTTGGACAAGTCTCTTCCCCTCTCTGAGCCTCAGTTTCCTCATCCATAATATAAGGGTAGCAGTAGAGCAGATGGTTTATAAGGATTCTCACAGCTCCAGCAAGCCACATCTCATCCTGGATGTTAATGCTGGCCTTGGACGTGGGATACACGGAAGAGGCTCTCAGACCCAGTCTTCAGAAAAACACTTAATTGGCTCATCTGATTTGAGCATTTCCCTTAAAAGCACCATTTGGATAGAGCTGCAACCAATAATCATTGAGCACCTACTATGTGCTAAGCTATCTCATTAACTACCTTCTCATAACCAGCCTGTAAGAAAACCATCCTCATCCCCATGTTGCAGATGACAGGCACGACAGTACACCTATCCAGAGCACAGGCTGTGTGGTCACCAACGCTTGGATATAGTCCCAGTCGTCACTTCCTATGGGAGGGTCCTGGAGCAAGTTACTTTACCCCTCCAACCATTAGTTTCCTCATCTGTACAATAGGGACAATGACAGCCCCTGTCTCACGGTGTTATTCCAAAGCCTGAACAGAATAGCACATGAAGCACAAAGAAAGCACTTAGTAAATATTAACTATGACCACTGACAATTATTACCACTGCTGTCATTACCACTTCTACGAGAGAAGAGCAAAGAAGCCTTGCGGAGAATTTGGGAAAGGGCAGCGCTCGAAACACCACAATGTTCTCAATTGTAATCAAGAGTCCCAGGAGAGACAAGGAACAGAATTGCTATGTAACTACGGCTAGGCTGCTGAACCTCTGTTAGCATCAGGTTCTCTGCCTATAAAATAAAGGCAACAACTCCCCAGACGATGGAGATCTGAGGCACTAATGCAGTTGAAAACCCCTAGTGAAGTGCCAAGTGAGGGAAAGGCAGTGGATCAATGTTTGCACCTGCCTTGCCTTCCCCATGAGCCTCTTCTGGAACCTCCAGGATCACAGCCTGCCTGCCTTGAAACCAGTTCCTGCATTAGGATTCTCTAACGCTCAAGCTCAATTGCCCAGCCAATGGCAAACAGTCCTGCCACGGGACTGAGCTTCCTCCTGAGGGCTGAGTGGAACTGAATTTTGCTGTGGTCCATGTCCTGGGCCCAAGAGCTCCAGACCACATGGGAGCACATCCATGTACCCAAACCAAACTGCCCATCCCCCAAAACCACACACAGCCACACCCAGCCAAGCCCTGCTCCCCTCTTCATCAACTCCCAAGGAGTGGTGTCATAGTAGTATAAATAATGACACCAACCATGATACCTCCTCCCTACTCTTCATGGTTCACAAAGCACTCCCAAATATTGTCTGGTAAGGCAGAGGCTGTGTTTTATTCATCGGTGGATATCCACTGAATAAAGCCAGGTATATAGCAGATACTCAGAAGCTCCCTCTTGAATGAATACATCTTATTTTTAAAACATGATTGTTAAAAATCACCATTTATTTGGCATTTACTGTTACGCCCTCTGTTAGACACTGAACGTGCACCCTCACAGTTCATCGTCACAGCCACCCCATGCAGCAAGCCCAATCATCAATTCTATTTTACAAAGAAAAAACTGAGGCTCAGAGAAGTTAAGTGCTATGCCCAAGGTCACAGCTAGTGAGTGACAGACCTGGGGTTTGCATCCTGGTTCATAACTGCTCCAGTCATTCCCCTTTTCTTCAACTAGAAGAGGCAACAGGAGGGGTAGGGAACAGCATGTATGTGGTCTGAAGAAGTACTTATATATTAATAATGCAACAATTTTATGTTTGGAAAAGAGAAAAATCCTATTGTGTTTATGGTAAAAACTAGAGAGAAAACAAAGATCGGCAACATCACCTTGGCTGAAGGGACATGAGAGTCTCTGTTCTACTTCCTGAGGTCACCCAGGCTCCTTTGTGGCTGTCTTCTAGTACACCCTCAGCTCCCTACAGCCCATAGCATGGTGCTTGTTGATAGCTCTTCTATGCTTTGCTAACTTCCCTCCTGCAGGTCTGCCTACCTCAAATGTTCTGGCAGTCTCCTCTTTATCCTACCTACCACTGTGGGACTGACCATCTTCTGTAAAAGGGCCCAGAGCTGTACGTTCCTGTTTCCTTAGAGGCTTTATCTCCAGCCCTTGCCCTAGCCAAAAACTCAGAGCAGAGTTTATGAGAAACTGCCTACCAGAAGCAGGCAGGCAAGGAGAGATGTGGTCAGGGTGACCTGGGCATAAGATATGCTTTGTTTTCCTCTTTTCCATGAGAAAAAATGAGTAGTGAAAAATGAGGAAATTAATGGCATTGACAGTCAGTGACAGGATGGGGGCAATAGGGCACGGTGGGGACTGTGGCCAATCAGCTACTGTTCAGCTCAACCATATGCTGCTGTGTGGGTATGCAAGCCCCGTGCAGCCAACTCTTAATTTCCAAGGGATGCCAGAATCAGATTTTTTTTTTCCATATGAAATCTACTGATTTCTAAATGTTGGCAACTAATTCTCCCTCCCTTGTATTTGTAAGTAAAACACATAAGTGGGCTGGACTTGGCCATGAGCCACACATAAGTGGCCTCCCTTGCAGTTATGTGAGGCTGTGCCTCAGTTTCTGGCCAACAGACTGTGAATGGAAAAGCCATGTGTAACATCCAGGTGAACGCAGTAAGAGCCGGCCACCTCCCTCATTCCTCTTCCCCTGATGAAGACGAGGGGACAACCCTGGAGACCACGTGGAGCATGTGGCACAGCCAGGCTACGAGACAGAAATGGCTGCTCTTCCTGCCACAGACTCCAGGTGAGAGAGAAACACATCCCAGAGATCTCAGGATCTGTCTGTGGAGGCAGCCAGCGTTACCTGCCCTAGCACACACCTGGGGCCACGTCTTAATGACACAAGAATCATCGCAGTAGTTTAGCATTTCCCAGTTTTCAAAGCACTTTACCCCCCTTCCCTTGCTAGACTCTCAACTCAACAGGACAGGGCAAGGTAACTTCACAGATGAGCAGACTGAGGCTCACAGGAAAATGAAATGGCCCGAAGTTCTGCCGCAAAGAAGCGGTGCAGGTAACGCGCAAGTGGACATCCAGTCCAGAGCTCTTCCTACCTCCCACCTTATGCACTGGCCCTTACAGCACGATCTCCCTGGCACTCTCTGGGTCACCTGTGAGCTTTTACAAGGACAGCTGGTGCCCTCCTCTGCCCATGGTTAGCTGCTCACAGATCTACCTCTTACCTTTCCTGTGGACTTGGTCCCCTTCCAGATGCAGAAGTAGCAGATGGTCCAGGCTGCCAGAAGACACAAAGCCAGCTCCCAGCGGAGGTTCCCAATGTGCTCGATCCCATCAGAGATGGCGAGGACCCGGTGCCTGCAGAAGGAAAGATGGAGAATCAGTGGGGCTGGAGATGCCCACCATGACCCCAGCTTCAGCAAGCTTGTGCCGCAGAGGAGCAGGAATGGGCCCAGGCGCCCAATCACCCACCCCTACCATTGACAAAGCATCTTCTCTGAGCAAACCCTGGGCTGGGAACAGGGCCCCCAAGAGGAACAAGACCTAGCCCCTTGCCTTTGCAGATTCCCTCTCTGTGGGGGAAGATGAGCAAGTTAGTAGATGTGGTATGAGTACAGCGCAGGAAGGGCCTGGATGGAGGGAGGGCCCAGCTAGGGTTGCCTGGAGACCAAATTACTGTCCGTAAACATTCCATGTCCCTTTCCGAGGAAAGACTATACATCCCTGCCCTGCCGAATTCAAGGATGACCATAAGACTTGCTTTGGCCATTCTTTGGCCAACAATAGAACATGTGTTACTTCAGACAGAAGCTTCCAGGGCCAGGTGGTGTGGCTGTCCATCTTCTCTTTCCTACCTCTGCTGTTATGATGGAGGCATGTGTCAAGATGCAGCTTCAAGAAGCCTGAGTTCCTGAGTGACTATGAGCCCTCATGGCACCCACATCAGAGATGTAGTGTGAGCAAGAAATAAACTTTGTTGCATCAAGCTATCGAGATCTTTGTGGGTATTTGTTACTGTAGCAAAATTCAACCTACCCTGACTGCTACAGGGGGTCAGGGAAAGGTTTCTGGAAGAAGTGACAGGTGAGCCAAACTATGAAGGATGAGTGGAATTTACCCAGCAGAGGAAGGGACTGAAGATAGTTTTAGGTTGAGGGAACAGCATGGGCAAAGCCCAGAAGACAAAGCACAGCATACTTGGGGGACAGCAAGCTGAAGCACAGGATAAGAAGGGGACAGTGGGAAGGTAAACAGAGGAGGTACCCCAGAGAGCCTTGAATATCATGCCAAGGGGTAGGAGCATCCCAGAGGGCCCAGGACACAGGAGAGGGAGGACCTGGGGAATGCTGAGTTAGTGCCACCAGCCATGGCCTCCTCTCAGAACCCATTAATTCTTCAGCATCAACGCAGGCCTGGCTCCCAGAGTCCATGCCTGTGGTTTGTGTTTCTTTAAAGTCAAACTAGCCACGCTCCATATTGTGCAGAACCAAGGCACCAACACAAAACCCCTCTAAACGTTCTCCACAAACCCCATTCTAGCTGCCAATCCACCCCCTGCCAGACCATGCCAGTCGCCTCAGTGCTCTGGGAACATCCTTTGAGAAAGGAGCTCCCATCCCACCAAGCAGGAAAGCCACCCTCAGTGTCTGTCTCCCTGGGAATCAGCTCAGAGCCTGATTTTGCATTAATTACTCAATGACACCAATTAGCACTGGTCTTTAGGCTCCCTCCAGCCCCAACCCACACTGGAGAAATCAGGCAGGCCCCCAAACAACTCAGACTGTGTGTGGCCATGCATTTACCTGAAAGGAAACCAGCTCTCAGACCCATAGCCAGGAGAAGTAGAAACATCTACTTTACACATTTATTGAGCACCAACTATGTGTCAGGCACTATATTAGACCCTGAGGATATAAAGCTGAGCACGGTCTGGCCCTCACCCTCTGCTAGGATAAGCTGGACAAATAAAGATGTCCCAGTTATTCGAGAAAGAAAGAAGGAAGCTGCTCAGTTATGATAACCTTTATTTTCTTCTTTTGTCTTAGCAATCTCCTTAATTCAGTGTAAAACTACAGGCCTTATTAAATGAGACGGTTAAGAGAATCTATTATTATAACAGAGTAGCACATCCTAGAGCATGCTCCTCGGGGTGCTTGCCAGAAATACAAACATTTCTGCACCCCTTCCTAGACCCACTGAATCCCAATCTTTGTGGAGTGGTCCCCAAGAAGCTGCATTTTGTCGTATTTCCCCATGGATGTCTTACGCCCAGTAAAGCTTGAGCACCACAGAAGCAGAGCTTCCTGGTAATGAAGGAATGACCTACAAATGCTGAAAAGAGGGGATTTGGGAGGACATCATGAGTCCTTTGAGAAGTTACCGAAGTGATTGACTTTCTCCCCAGAAAAATACTCTCACTCCTAAAATTCTGCAGGGAATTTCAGGGTGCCCACCAACTCTCTTGTCCCCAGATGAAGAGCCTTGTAGCTGACACAGACCTACTGCTGTACAAATAGCCACCCAAAGCGTGCCTAACGCCCATCAGCTGGTGAACAAGGGACAACCCAGAGCAGGAAAGAAACTATGTCACTGCGGATATGAACAACCTAGGCGAACTCTGCACCATCTACTCCAAACTCTGAACTTGTCACTAGAGAAGCACTTACACAGGGTCCCTAGTGAGCAGGGTGCATGCACACCCAAGCACACATATGCCTTCTTGTTGATATAGCTGTTTTCTGAACCAGGATCTGAAAACTGGAAACTGCATGGGGACAGAGGGAGAAAGAGTGGCAGACCTGCCAGGAGCGAGCTGGCTCAGCTCCCCTCTCTTCTACATTTTGGAGGCTGCAAACTTTTGAGTCATGCAGCCTGCTCTGGCGCCCTCTCGCTTAATTGAACAATCTAATTCCCAGAATGGGAAGCAGATTACTAAAAGCTACAGAGGATGAATTGCTCTTTTGTTCCACCAGACACTATTTGAAAACATCCTCAAACTATTTTCTTTAGGTTTTACCAATGCTGACTTTAACTAGGAATGGACCTTCGGTTTCTAAAGAAAAGGGGGCTCTGGGGCCAGGTTCTCAGCCCGCAGGGCTGTGGGGTTGTTTTGAAACCCACAAGGGCAGCCTTTGAGAGCATGGGGGCTGGGGCACTCAACTCCGGAGACTCGGAGAAGGCACAGCTCTTCCTGGGAAAAAGCCTTCTTAATGACCCTCCCCCATGAAGCGCGAGGACAGAAGAAAGGTCTGAATAAGGAAGAGTTTGCTGCCAATAGCCTGGCCAGGAAGGATCCAGGAACGGACCTCCCAACACCATTCAGGGAGCAGGAATGCTGCAGACTAGAAGGGCTCTTCAGAGGGATCCATTTACACAAATAACATTTATTGTGCACCTACTATGTGCCAGGCACTAAAGCAGGTTCATCGCGAAGCACCATTTTCAGGCCATAGAAGAATATTTCTGGAATTTCCACCCAGAGGCTGAAATCTCAGAGCTTGGGGGTATAGTGCTCATGCTTCTCCAGCCCTTGGCATATACAGAGACGGGCTGGGCTCAAATCCCAGCTGCTCCACTTTGGGCAAGCGACGTCACCTCTCTGAGTCTCAGCTTCCTCATCTGTAAAATGGGAATAATGATATCTACCTTCAATGGCTTTTCAAGTGTGAATGCATCTAACCCTCCCCACAATCCTTCAGGTAGGTACAAACATTATCACCATTTCAAAGATGGGGAAACTGAGGCACAGAGAGGTTGAGTAACTTGCTCAAAGTCACAAAAAAAAAAAAAGGGCCGGCCCGGTGGCGCACTGCTGTAGTGCACCGCTTGGGAAGCGCGGCGGCGCTCCCACCGAGAGTTCGGATCCCACATACAGACCAGTTCCCGCTCACTGGCTGAGCGAGGCGCGGGAGCAACACCGAGGGCTGCGATCCCGTTGCCGGTCCCGGTCCGGTACGGGGGCGACACTGAGGGTTGCGATCCGTTGCCGGACACGGAAAAAAAAAAAAAAAAAAAAAAAAAAAAAAAAGTCACACCACGAGCAAACAACAGAGCTTGGATTTGAGCCCAGAGATCCAGAGCCCAAACTTTCAGCCTTGATCTGAGCGCCTGGATTCCTCCATAACCCTGAAATGGCCCACCCACTTTCCTTCCTTCTTTACAAATTAAACCTACAGTGAACGCACACCCCAAAGCCATCCTACATGTCTTTGTGTACCAGGTAAAAGGAGTATACCGCACATGCCCTTCACGCGTTTATAATTTATTCAAGTAGTACTTGTTGAAGTGTCATCGGTGTGGCAGATACTTGCTGTGCCTGGGGGTTCTTAAAGAGCTCATGGTCTAATGGGGAAGGCAAACAGGAACACAGACAGAGCAGAGTGTGGGGAAGGTGGTGACAGAGGAAGGCTATGGCTAGGGAAGCTCCTAGGCAAGGCAGGGACCCTCGCTGTGGATCAGGGCCAGTATCAGAACGTTGGGGGTCCTGGAGAGTAGGAGGAAAGTTAGCAAAAAAGAGAAAGAGTATTTGGGACAGAAAGGCCACCAAGGGCAATAGCTGAGAGGCTGGTGAGAATGCTCAGCAAGGCCAGGGAAGGGCACTGTGAATCAGGTCATCACAGTGGGAGCCAAGGAGGGATGTGGGGTGAGGCTGGGGTGGAGTGGTGAGCAGGGGCTGTGTCCTGAAGGTGACAGATGCCTAGAAGAGTCGTAAACAGGGGCGAGACTCCACCAAATGTCTGTGTGAGGAAACTCTCTTTGGCTGCAGTGGGGAGAATGTGGGTGGTAAGGGTGGGATGGGGTGGGGTGCGGGCACAGAGAATTTTGCCTCAGTTGGACAATAAGTGAGGAGACTAGGGACCAAGGTAGGGGAGGGTCCTGGAGAGGAATGGACGGTCTGAAAGCAGCAGAGGCACACGGTGGCAGGGAGGAGGAGGGGGGCGGGCTAGGCTGGCACCAGGCTCCTGCCGCAGCCCCTGCAGGGCTGGGGGTGGTCACTAACTGAGCAGGAGTGAAGTGGCCAGCAGCGCAGACGGGGTGGTGGCCAAGCATTCTTTCACACGAGGTGGTCTTGAGGTGCCGCAGTGCCCAGAGGTCACTGGGTCTCAGAAGAGAGATGCAGGGAGGAGATGCAGACCCGAGCCTCGGCCTCAGGGTGCCCAGGAGAGCAGGAGAAGGGGAAGAGGCGGCTTGCAACTGAGCCCCCAAACCTCAACGTCTCAAGGGCAGAGAGTGGAAGGGAAGAGCCCTTGAGGGAGGCAGAGAAGGATCAGGCAGGGGACAGGAGAAGGGGCATCCCCAAAGGTGAAGAGAAAGCAAGTCTCTAGGGGCAAGAAGCCCACCTGCCAAGATCTGCGTGC